TAAATCCAAGATGGCGGGCACGATTTTTCGAATAATGGCAAGTTGGGTGTCGTTTTCAAGGTATTAGGGGCTGCTCATTCCGAATATAGCACATATTTCTAAATCCAAGATGGCAAAGAATTAGAAGAAGAAGAATTAGAAGTCTTGTCCCCCATCTTGTATTCAGATATACATGCCATTTCCTTATGGTTTACCAAAAACACATTTTTGAAAATTGTTGTCAACCATCTTGGATTTAGAAATTAATGCTACATTCGTAATAAGCACTCTAAAACTCCTCGAAAACGTCTATAATTCTCAATCGTCCCTGTCGATCGACAATGTCGAGCAAATCTGTAGGCACCTTATTAAATACTACCCAATTTTTATTTAACTCATATATGAACAAAAACCTACAAGAGAGTTGAAGTGCGACTATCGAATTTGAATATATAAATAGCCTGATATTATCTGTGGGTATGTTTATATGAAAAGTACACGATAACAATTAAGAACCTGAACCTGAAAGTTATTTATACACGATTTTGGAGAACGGACGATGACTTTTTAGTCAGTGTTAGTTTACTGAAATAATTTTAGTTAAGAACTTTTGAGTCTGGGCAAGACAATTTTTTTAAATGAGTGTATGATGAACAAGAATAATGATTTTTCACATGAAACTAATGAAGGCAAATACTAAATATATTTCGTAAAAATAGCTAACGTAAATTCCCTACAATGTTGTTGCGGCGGTGTACATTTGTAGAAATTTTGCAACCGTCGCGATATTGCCTACTCTCAAAAAATTACGTAATATAATTATTTTGAAACAGAATAGCAAAATGGGGAGAAAAAACCCGTTACTTTGCAACATTTTCGTATTTTGTTGCAACGAAATTAATTTTCTGTTTTAGTGAATATTTACATAAAAATACAAGTTGAAACGCGTTACTTCCTTGTGGAATGTGATGTTAGTGTCTATTTTATATTTGTCTGATCTATTTTTAAACCCAATTATCGCACATTTCGTCATTTTTAGCAAAAATTTTTGAGCTGCTGGCGGTGCAACTTGACCTTGAGCACTGACAGCCCGCTCGCTCGTGTAAGCCCTTAGGGCGTCCTACAATTTGCCTCACTTA